TTCAAAATTATATTTGGAACCGACGGTTTCATTTACTAAATACCCGAAAATTTCTGGAATCGAAAAAAACCGAACCGAATCAACCCGCGCCCACCCCTAGACTAGTCGAACAAAAGCTAGTGCTAGTCGATTGACACCTAGAACAAAACGTATTAGTAGACTAAGGACAAGAAAAATCAAAAAATGTTAGCCATTGAAAAGTCATGATGGAGGAAGTATAGTCAACCGGGGATCAAAATTTGGCCACACAAATCAATTGAAGTCTATCTTACGAGTCCAGCATGGAATGGACATGGGAATAGTATAGAATCAAATTAGACTTGTAACATGTTTGAGATGATTTATTTTAATAATAATTTTCGAATGCGTGATTTATACTGGTTTATTTGAAGTATAGGTTAGTTCAAATCATAAATAAGTCATATATTTGTTGTTTATTTTTAAGATAAACTACACCAAATTGTTTTTAGTGAACGAAATAAATGAGAGCAGTGAAATATTATCACATTGGTGTCATTGTAGAAATTGCAAAACCAGGCTATTTGGCGAGTGAAAGTTCAAACCTTGACACGTTAGTGTCATTGTGGAAATTGTGAAATTATTGTGGAAATTGTGAACGGACAATTAATTCAATGTTTCAATTAGGTTTTGATCGGTGCCATATTTTGAAAACTATTACGATAAGTTTAATTCCATACCATATTTTGATAATAATCATATATAGTAATTAATAGTGAATTATGTAACTCTGTTTTAATTGTTGTTATAAACATCCACGTTTTACTCTATTTTGACTGTGCTTGTCGTCACCGCACATGAGTGTCGTGAAGAGTCGCCGGAGAGGTGGGATGGGGTGGAAGTGGAAATTGAAGTAGCACTTGAAACCATTTTTGAAAGATGTATTAAAGTTTGTTGGGTGGGGTGGGGCATAAAACTTTCAAATCTTATTTTTGAATTGAGAATTTAAAAATCATGGTTAGGTGTAATTTCCACGTTACTCTATTTTGACTGCGCTTGTCGTCACCGCACACGAGTGTCATGAAGAGTCGCCGGAGAGGTGGGATGGGGTGGAAGTGGAAATTTGAATTGAGAATTTAAAAATCATGATTAGGTGTAATTTCTTCCACTATAAGTTTATGTCTACAATTGCCTCGAGAGTCAATCCATTTATTTTTCTTCAGCTTCACGATCCAGAACCAAAATTGAAGTCCACCCATATTCATCTACTTTCAATGTCTTGGGAGTCTAAGCCTCAATTTAGTTTAGATAAAAAAGTGAATTAAAATTTAATTTAAAGTTAACAATTAATTTTAACTTTATATTTTATGAAATTTAGATCTTTTCAATTATACGTTCCATCAATTTTTATCAAAATTTATTAAAAATTTAATTTTTATCTAAATCAAAATCAAAATCAAAATCAAAATCAATTTTTGATAAGATGTGCATCCTTTTGGGCATATTCTATTGGATATTTTCATCTTGGGTGGTAATAGTGGGTTAGTAATGTAATCAATCGTGATATTTACTGTTAATGAAATAAAAGTTGCTTCCTAAAGTCACGTCGATTTGGGCGACTGATTTGACCAAAAAGAAAAGAATCTTTTCCGTCTTCTCCATATTGATGTATTTCAAACTTCACTTACATGAGAAACATTAAACTAAGAGGGTGTTTCACACCCATTTTTTAAAGGGTTAATTTCACAAATGGTCACTGAAGTTACCTGAAAATTTCAAAACGGTTACTGAAGTTTCAAAGTTTCAGAAACGGTCACTGAAGTTTGAAATTTCTTCCAAAATGGTCACTGAAAGTTCAGATTTTTTGGGCAAGTTTGAGACAATTTTTCGGCAACTTCCGACCACCAAAATCATCGATTTCGGATACCGTTAGAAAGCCCACAATGTCCTCTTCAATTACCACAAAAAATCTCCCCAAAACTCCAAGTGATTCGGCCGGAATAAAGCCACGAAGTATGCAACCGAAAATTGTGAAAATCTACCCAGATTTTCAGATTTTTTGGGCAAGTTTGAGGCAATATTTCGGCAACTTCCGACTACCAAAACCGTCGATTTCGGATACCGTTGGAAAGCCCACAAT